GGAAAGTAATACTGATGCCATAATTCTCTAGTTTCTAGTTTTCACAATCAACAATGAGAGTAATATTGATGCCCCTAATTCTTTGTTTTAGTTTTTACAAACAACAATGAGACGTAATATTGATGCCCTTAAAATTTTCTAGTTTCTAGTTTTCTACAATCAACAATGAGACGTATATTGATGCCATAATTCTCTAGTTTTAGTTTTCTACAATCAACAATGAGACGTAATATTGATGCCATAATTCTCTAGTTCTAGTTTTCTACAATCAACAAGGGACGTAATATTGATGCCATAATTCTCTAGTTACTAGTTTTCTACAATCAACAATGAGACGTAATATTGATGCCATAATTCTCTAGTTTCTAGTTTTCTACAAATCAACAAGGGGACGTAATACTGATGCCATAATTCTTAGTTTCTAGTTTTCTACAATCAACAATGAGAGAAATATTGAAGCCATAATTCTCTAGTTTCTAGTTTTCTACAATCAACAATGAGACGTAATATTGATGCCATAATTCTCTAGTTTCTAGTTTTCTACAATCAACAATGAGACGTAATATTGATGCCATAATTCTTAGTTTCTAGTTTTTACAATCAACAAGGAGACGTAATATTGATGCCATAATTCTCTAGTTTCTAGTTTTCTACAATCAACAATGAGACGTAATATTGATGCCATAATTCTCTAGTTTCTAGTTTTCTACAATCAACAATGAGACGTAATTTTTGATGCCATAATTCTCTGTTTCTAGTTTTCTACAATCAACAAGAGACGTAATATTGATGCCATAATTCTCTGTTTCTAGTTTTCTACAATCAACAATGAGACGTTAAAATTGATGCCATAATTCTCTAGTTTCTAGTTTTCTACAATCAACAATGAGACGTAATATTGATGCCATAATTCTCTAGTTTCTAGTTTTCTACAATCAACAAGGAGACGTAATATTGATGCCATAATTCTCTAGTTTCTATTTCTACAAACAACAATGAGAAAGTAATATGATGCCATAATTCTCTTGTTTCTAGTTTTCTTACAAACAACAATGAGACGTAATATTGATGCCATAATCTCTAGTTTCTAGTTTTTACAATCAACAATTTAGACGAATATTGATGCCAAAAATTCCCCTAGTTTCTAGTTTTCTACAATCAACAATGAGGAGTAATATTGATGCCCTAATTCTCTAGTTTCTGTTTTTTTCTACAATCAACAATGAGACGTAAAAATTGATGCCCTAATTCTCTGTTTTAGTTTTCTACAATCAACAAGGAGACGTAATATTTTATGCCCTAATTCTCTAGTTTCTAGTTTTCTACAATCAACAAGGAGACGTAATATTGATGCCATAATTCTCTAGTTTCTAGTTTTCTACAATCAACAATGAGACGTAATATTGATGCCATTATTCTCTAGTTTTAGTTTCTACAATCAACAATGAGACGTAATATTGATGCCATAATTTCTCTAGTTTTTAGTTTTTACATATCAACAATGAGACGTATATTGATGCCATAATTCTCTGTTTTAGTTTTCTACATTTAACAATGGACGTAAATTGAAAACCATAATTCTCTGTTTCTAGTTTTCTACAATCAACAATGGACGTAATATTGATGCCATAATTTTCTAGTTTCTAGTTTTCTACAATCAACAATGAGACGTAATATTGATGCCATAATTCTCTAGTTTCTAGTTTTCTACAATCAACAATGAGACGTAATATTGATGCCATAATTCTCTAGTTTCTAGTTTTCTACAATCAACAATGAGACGTAATATTGATGCCATAATTCTCTAGTTTCTAGTTTTCTACAATCAACAATGAGACGTAATATTGATGCCATAATTCTCTAGTTTCTAGTTTTCTAAAAATCAACAATGAGACGTAATATTTATGCCATAATTCTCTAGTTTCTAGTTTTCTACAATCAACAAGGAGACGTAATATTGATGCCATAATTCTTTGTTTCTAGTTTTTTCAATCAACAATGAGACGTAAAATTGATGCATAATTCTCTAGTTTCTAGTTTTCTACAATCAACAATGAGACCGTAATATTGATGCCATAATTCTCTAGTTTCTAGTTTTTTTACAATCAACAATGAGACGTAATATTGATGCCATAATTCTCTAGTTTCTAGTTTTCTACAATCAACAATGAGACGTAATATTGATGCCATAATTCTTAGTTTCTAGTTTTTTTACAATCAACAATGAGACGTAATATTGATGCCATAATTCTCTAGTTTCTAGTTTTCTACAATCAACAATGAGACGTAATATTGATGCCATAATTCTCTAGTTTCTAGTTTTCTACAATCAACAATGAGACGTAATATTGATGCCATAATTCTCTAGTTTCTAGTTTTCTACAATCAACAATGAGACGTAATATTGATGCCATAATTCTCTAGTTTCTAGTTTTCTACAATCAACAATGAGACGTAATATTGATGTATCACAATTTGAAACTTTTCAACAAAATGCTTCCTTTACTGTATATCTGTCACCTTGTTAATTATGCTACCAATGTTAGCTGGCTACCATTGGTAGCGTGGATAAACATTGTTGCCATTGCTAGTATAATCTTACAATGTTAGCTGGCTAGCATTGGTAGCGTGGTAAATTGTTACCATTGCTGCATAATCTTACAATGTTAGCTGGCTACCATTGGTAGCGTGGATAAGCATTGTTACCATTGCTAGTATAATCTTACAATGTTAGCTGGCTACCATTGGTAGCGTGGATAAGCATTGTTACCATTGCTAGTATAATCTTACAATGTTAGCTGGCTAGCATTGGTAGCGTGGATAAGCATTGTTACCATTGCTAGTATAATCTTACAATGTTAGCTGGCTACCATTGGTAGCGTGGATAAGCACTGTACCATTGCTGATAATCTTACAATGTTAGTGGCTAGCACTGGTAGCGTGGATAAGCATTGTTACCATTGTAGTATAATCTTTCAATGTTAGCTGGCTAGCACTGGTTAGCGTGGATAAGCATTGTTACCATTGCTAGTTAAAAATCTACAATGTTAGCTGGTACCATTGTTTAGCGTGGATAAGCATTGTTTTCCATTGCTAGTATAATTTACAATGTTAGCGGCTACATTGGTAGCGTGGGTAAGCATTTTTACCATTGCTATTTTAAATTACAAGTAAGCTGGCTAGCATTGGTAGCGTGGACAAGCATTGTTTTCCATTGCTAGTATAATCTTACAATGTTAGCTGGCTACCATTGGTAGCGTGGATAAGCATTGTTACCATTGCTAGTATAATCTTACAATGTTAGCTGGCTAGCAATGGTAGCGTGGATAAGCATTGTTACCATTGCTAGTATAATCTTACAATGTTAGCTGGCTAGCATTGGTAGCGTGGATAAGCATTGTTACCATTGCTAGTATAATCTTACAATGTTAGCTGGCTAGCATTGGTAGCGTGGATAAGCATTGTTTTCCATTGCTAGTATAATCTTACAATGTTAGCTGGCTAGCATTGGTAGCGTGGATAAGCATTGTTACCATTGCTAGTATAATCTTACAATGTTAGCTGGCTAACATTGGTAGCGTGGACAAGCATTGTAACCATTGCTAGTATAATCTTACAATGTTAGCTGGCTAGCATTGGTAGCGTGGACAAGCATTGTTACCATTGCTAGTATAATCTTACAATGTTAGCTGGCTAGCATTGGTAGCGTGGACAAGCATTGTTACCATTGCTAGTATAATCTTACAATGTTAGCTGGCTAGCATTGGTAGCGTGGATAAGCATTGTTACCATTGCTAGTATAATCTTACAATGTTAGCTGGCTAGCATTGGTAGCGTGGATAAGCATTGCTACCATTGCTAGCTTAATCTTACAATGTTAGCTGGCTAGCACTGGTAGCGTGGATAAGCATTGCTACCATTGCTAGCATAATTACAATGTAGCTGGCTTGCATTGGTTAGCGTGGATAAGCATTGTTACCCTTGTAGTATAATCTTACAATTGTTAGCTGGCTAGCATTGGTAGCGTGGATAAGCATTGCTACCATTGCTAGTTTAAACTTACAAAAAAGTTAGCTGGCTAGCATGGTAGCGTGGATAAACATTGCTACCATTGCTAGCATAATCTTACAATGTTAGCTGGCTAGCATTGGTAGCGTGGATAAGCACTGCTACCATTGCTAGCATAATCTTACAATGTTAGCTGGCTAGCATTGGTAGCGTGGACAAGCATTGTTACCATTGCAAAATTAATCTTACAATGGTTAGCTGGCTGCATTGGTAGCGTGGACAAGATTGTTACCTTGCTAGTATAATCTTACAATGTTAGCTGGCTGCATTGGTAGCGTGGATAGCATTGTTTTCCAATTGCTAGTATTATCTTACAATGTTTGCTGGCTAGCATTGGTTTGCGTGGATAAGCATTGCTACATTGCAGCTTAATCTTACAAAGTTAGTGGCTAGATGGTAGCGTGGTAAGCATTGGGTACCATTGCTAGCATAATCTTAAATGTTAGCTGGTAGCATTGGTAGCGTTTGGGTAAGCATGCTACCATTTTAGATAATCTTTCAATGTTAGCTGGCTAGCATTGGTAGCGTGGAAAGCATTTGTTACCATTGCTAGTATAATCTTACAATGTTAGCTGGCTAGCATTGGTAGCGTGGATAAGCATTGTTACCATTGCTAGTATAATCTTACAATGTTAGCTGGCTATCATTGGTAGCGTGGATAAGCATTGCTACCATTGCTAGTATAATCTTACATGTTAGTGGCTAGCATTGGTAGCGGGATAACATTTTACCATTGCTAACCTAATTTTTTTACAATGGGTTTGCTGGCTTTCCATTGGTGCGGGTTTAAACACTGTACCATTACCAGCAAAATCTTACAATGTTAGCTGGCTAGCATTGGTGGCTTTGAATATGTAGAATTTTTCTTTTATTCTAGGATTACCCTCATTAATTGTTTAGAATTAATGACTTGATAATTATTATTTCCACAGTTTGACTTAACATGTGAAAAAGCTTGGCTTCGTCCTCTTGCTGGCTCATTGTACATGACCGGAATGTTAGTCGGAGGTATTGTTATTGGTGATTTAGCTGATCGCTTCGGAAGAAGAAAGGGAATCTTGATGTCAGCACTTCTACTTGGTGTTGGTGGAGTTATAAGCGCAGTGTCCCCAGATTACTACATCTTGCTGTTGATGAAGTTCTTTACCGGTGCTGGAGGCAGCGGCCTCGTTCTGGTCTCATATGTCTTGTGTAAGTATATATTGTATTTTACTTGCACACAAATCACAGAACGGATGGGTCTTGAACCCATGGCAAGTGAGTGTTAAAACTCATGGACTGGCCTGTGAGTTTTAGGTTTCACTTTCAACATGGCAAGTGAGTGTTAAAACTCACGCACTGGCCTGTGAGTTTTAGGTTTCACTTTCAACATGGCAAGTGAGTGTTAAAACTCATGGACTGGCCTGTGAGTTTTCGGACTCATTTGCAACTCCAGGAAGATTTGAATAGACTGATGCAGTGGTCGGAGAAGTGGCAGATGCAGTTTAATATAGACAAATGCAAAGTTCTAAATGTTGGACAGGACAATAACCATGCCACATATAAACTAAATAATGTAGATCTTAATATTACGGATTGCGAAAAAGATTTAGGAGTTCTGGTTAGTAGTAATCTGAAACCAAGACAACAGTGCATAAGTGTTCGCAATAAAGCTAATAGAATCCTTGGCTTCATATCAAGAAGCATAAATAATTGGAGTCCTCAGGTTGTTCTTCAACTCTATACATCCCTTTGGTTAGGCTATTTAGATTATGCGCACAGTTTTGGTCACCGTATTACAGAATGGATATAAAATTTTCTGAAATGTACAAAAGGGGGATGACAAAGTTGATCTCATGTATCAGAAACCTTCCTATGAGGATAGACTAAGGGCCCCGAATCTGCACTCTCTAGAAAGACGTAGAATTAGGGGGATATGATTGAGGTGTTAAATGGAAGACAGGAAAAAAATAAAGGGGATGTAAATAGTGTGCTGAAATATCTAGCCTAGATAGGACTCGCAGCAATGGTTTTTAAGTTGGAAAAATTTTAGATTTAGGAAGGTATAGGAAAGTACGGTTTTGGTAATAGAGTTGTGGATGAGTGGAACAAACTCCCGAGTACAGTTATAGAGGCCAGAACGTTGTGTAGCTTTAAAAATAGGTTGGATAAATACATGAGTGGATGTGGGTGGGTGTGAGTTGGAACTGATTAGCTTGTGCTACCAGGTCGGTTGCCGTGTTCCTCCCTTAAGTCAATGTGACCTGACCTGACTAGGTTGGGTGCATTGGCTTAAGCCGGTAGGAGACTTGGACCTGCCTCATATGGGCCAGTAGGCCTTCTGCAGTGTTCCTTCGTTCTTATGTTCTTAAGTATCTTTGACAACCAGTAACTAACATATCACTACCAAGTAATGAGTAATGACATTATCGACTCAGATAAATGATTTAATATTTAATCCCCCTGATTTATTTAATACAAATTGTGCAATAAGAATTCCCTTATATAATGAACATAGTCATTTTAATTTTAAAAATAAAACATATAGCAATAGGATCGGTATAGGTAAAAAATTAGGTATCAGTATCAGCTATAATTTTGGTATCGTCCCATTCCTAATTATAATAGGAGAATTATATTGTCCCTTTTGTATTATACTTTTTTAAACATAAAAATGTTTACAGTGATACAGTTTACCAAATTAATATTTCAATGAACATTCCATTCCCACTTTATTTGCAGCTGTAGAGTTTATTGGCGTTAAATGGCGCACATTTTGTGGGATCAACATTCAAATACCATTTGCACTTGGTGAAGCTATGACTGGAGTGTTGGCTATCTTCATCAGGGACTGGCGTTGGCTGCAACTTACTGTCACGGCTCCTGCTGTTCTCCTTATATCTTATACTTGGTAAGTACAGTATGTACATGCAGTTACATACAGTTACTTGTACTTTCCATCTTATATGTTACACAATTGATATATAAAGTTTGTCTATATCATATAGACTTGTAAGAAAATAAAGATATTTTTATGAACTAGACGGTGTATGAACGTGCCTCTACTGGCACGTTCACATGTAATATGACCAAAACTGTTGAACTTATTCTCAGCATCACGTTCACATGTAATATGACCAAAACTGTTGAACTTATTCTCAGCATCCTGGAATGGCTCGGATAACTTACAAAATCCACAATGGCAGAGCTTCCGACGTTCAAAGTGCCAAAAAATCGACTACGTTAGAGAGCAAAACCATATTTATAGTATAGATAATGTAATCCGTCCACCAACCTTGAAGAAAAAGTTGTGAGGCGGTCAGTCCCTCAGCGTTTAGAAGAGTTTACCTTCATAATCTAGAACACAGTGTTCCACATTAATTACAAAAGTACAGTAATAATGAAATTAGAACAGATAAGTGGTCTGTTTTATTGAACAGAAAGAATTAAATAGACGAAATGCTGCACGTAATTAATAAAACAGACAATTTATAATGTTTTATTTAATAAAGTTGAGATGTAAAGGAAAAACGGCAGATAATGTATGTCTTGTGTGACTGTAGCAAAATTGTCTGGATCTTAAGTTCGCTGGAGAGAGTGACTGTATGTGGCGTCATCTAGCGAGAGAATACTCTTAAATTATCAGTGTTTCATCACCTGTCGTCCTTCCACCTTATTGTTTGGTGTTTCTCTTCTGTTCGTCTCACTTTCATCTTCCCTCCTGAGAGGCGAGCCCATGCTGGGGGCCAAAGCAGCATGGGTTCGACTCCTTGGCTAATGCAGTGTTGTTACTGATCAATACCACTCGTTCCGTGGGTACAATAATATAATATACTGCTTGTTGAGCTAGTACACAAACAAGGAGTAAAACGAAATCAGCCAAGAAGCGTCCACACCACCGTATGTCCTTCGATGGTGGGTACAACATCTAGCTTGTACATGAACGGTATACATTACAAGTTGAAAAATTTAGACACATGTGCAACATTTGGGTATCTTTACTGTAGACGTTTCGCCAACCAGTGGCTTTATTAATGCAAATTCTAGGACATGATAGAAGACAGTAGAACTTTCTACAAAAGATGAGGTCATCAGTCCCTCAACCTTGAAGGTGGTGTTAAGAGCACCGTGGTCGTGTAGATTCTGGACCACAAGCAAAAAGGCTGCTGTTTTTATACTGGTGGAAGATGTAGGACATAGTCACTGGTGGGCGGGAATCCCCAGTGGAAGTAGGTCATACCCGAGGCACGGGTTAGTGGTGGTAGTAGTAGTAATAATGGTTCTCAGCAGCAGCTGAGAAGAGGAAGTATGGATGTCCTCTGAACCAAGATTCCCTGATGTTACAGAGTCTGACAAGCTGTACATGAATGGTATAAAATACCGACATGTTGAAAAATTTAGCGGGCGTGATCGTGGTAGATAGGTGTGAATGGAGACAAATGGTTTATACGACTTGACATGCTGTTGGAGTGTGAGCAACGTAACATTTTTGAAGGGATTCAGGGAAACTGGAAAGCTGGACTTAAGTCCTCGAGGTGGGAAGTAGAGTGACTGCACTTTGATGGGTGTTGACAAGTTGCAGTTTCATAACCATAGCATAAGCGCACTTCAGGCAAGACCCTGATGGAGTGAAAGATTACAGTGTATCTTCTTCTTTGGGTCACCATGCCTTGGTAGGAAAAGGCCAATGTGTTTAATAAAAAAAAGTGAAAGATGTAGGCATAAAAATGATTTAGTAAATATTTTAAGTGAAAACTCCACTGACGGATTTGTATGTAAATATTAGTGTTTTGGTCGCAAGTAGATTTTATGCAGCTTTACACCCAACATTAACACTAGGCAACCTCAAGAATAGTGTGCAAATCGATATATAGATTTATGCCTTATGAATTATTTAGGTAGGTTAAATTGTTACTAAATACAAACAAGAAGAGCTCTCAGCACGTCAGATGCCACTGCTCCCTTTTGATATCAGCTGCAGTGGTGGCAACAACTCTTTACGAGCTTTCAGTTCAAGTATTCCACTCAACTTAAAAATACTTGCCTGATGACCAATGAGAAAGAAGGAGGAGGCTTTCCGTCATACCATGGATATTTGTCTCTTCCCAGGCTCCAATATTGACATAATTCTCTATATTCAATTTAGTATTAGCTGGCTGGCAGTATTTTGGGGAACACAGGATAATTTAACTATAGGGTGACTCACGAAATCGTAATGACACGATTGCAAACAAACCATACCACGGGCGGGATTTGAACTATAGGGTATTTGTTCTCTAAGGTCCAACACTAAGGTACCTAGCAGCCAATATTACTGAGTAACTATTCCTATATTGTTACTCAAGAGGCTGGTATCCCTTTGTATACATATATATTTGGAGAATCCCAATGAATTCAGTGACCCTAATGTGTTTGCTGGGGTTGCTAACCAAACTTAACTGACTGCAGGAACCATTCCTTCTTGGCAGTGGCGTCTTAGAGAGAGATAAGTCATTAGAAATCTAGATTAACATGGGTACCAAGTTTTTTTTTTTTTTTTGTCTTTCTTCTGTCGCGTGTTTCTGTTCCTTCATTATTTATTTCATCACTTCCCCTTCCCCCCACCTCTGTGCACTTGCTCTCCCTCTGTGGGCACCTAGCTCCCTCGCAGTGCTCCCCTTTCTTTATATTTGACTGGCTCCTCCTCCTTAGTTCCCCACTACTACCACTACTACTGCTACTAACACCACCACTACTACTGCTATTACCATTACCACTACCTCTTCCTGCCTATATATAGCCGTCCTGCTCCACTTTTGATTAGTGTGACTTTGTAAATGGTCCAAGTTGGACCGAAACGTCGTCGTACGCTCCTCTCTTCTATGTGCGGGTTATTTGTGTATGGGATTTCAAGTTAAAATAGATTTCACAATACAAGTAATTCTGTTGTAGTTTGCACAAAGAGATGGAAATTTCCTGCAGGGTAGTTTAGCCTCTAAAGAATTTTTACCCTAGGAGTACTTGTGAAAACAGGATTTTAGCAGTCTTGTGTTATCTGTCTGAACAGTGATTGCAAGAGTTGGCATTTCACGAGTTTCCACATAACTTCTTTAATTTAGTCCTTCAAACGTAGATTGTGGAGTTAAATTAGCAGACTTATTAAGTCTTAGTATAGCTAACCCCTGATACTTACCAGTGAAGTTAAGCTAGGTTAGCTAATAACTTACACCCAGTGATTTACACAATTTAGGGTAAAGTTAGATAACTAAACGGCACATAGAAGTTAATTATTTACAGTGATTTAACAAGTAGGCCAGAAGTAGGATAAACATACTTGTATATTTAATTATTTACAGTGATTTACAGTTAGACCAGTTACGCTAAAGATATTTGCACAACATTTTATTATTATGGTGAATTTGAATTCAGGCCAAAGTAATGCAAGAATATTTACACACTTTCATTATTTACAGCAGTTATGCAAGTTAGGTTAAGATTTGGCTCATCTAATTGATTACAGTGAATTAAGCAAGCTGGGCTCAATTAGGCCAAGTTACTTGCACACACAAATTTTATGTATCTGTAAATTTCATGAGTAGTGCTAATCGAGTGAATTTTAGTCTTGCGGAAAGACTGAGTTTTGTGGTGTGTCAATTTTTATTGCTGTTGGCTCATATTAATATGTTGGGCTATGGCATACACCTGTGTGTACTTTAAGCCCTGTAATTACAGAAATTTCTACGTTAAGCAGTGTAACTGCTCTCCGCCTACAGAGAACAAATTCCTTAGTTAGGTTATCTTACCAACAAAATGTGTATGAGACTGCGCCTGAGGGGCAGAGTCAACCTCTAATAAATTTCCCAGAGATCCCAAGTTGTATGGTAAAGATATTCAGAGCAATGGAGTCTAAAATATTGAATTTTAATGAAGATTTGCGATTGAAGGCTGTGTTAAGCTGTTTCACATAACTTAACTGTTTGTTTTCTAGGAAGTAATTATATTGTGACAGGCTGTGTACCCATTAACATCGTAAAAGTTATTTTTACAACTGGCAAATTTATTTCATGAGCTTGACAGGTCCTTACAAATATCCTAGTGTTATACATAAGGACAGGACTTGAGCAGTTTTGCGTTATCAGTGTCAAAAGTGATTGCCAAAGTGGGTATCTCACAAGTTTCCATATCTTCATTATATTTAAGATTCAGCTCAGTAATGATATTATACTGGATGAGGACAATATGTTGAGAAATGGCATTACCAGCTAAGTTTAAAGAGTTTGTACTAAACTTAGAAAGACAGCTCATCGCCTGCACAGCCGCCCCTGCAGACGAGGTCTTGAGAAGCTGTCGAAGTCATCTCTCAACGGGCTGTAAATGAGTTATAATTTGTAAGATTATAAATTACCCCTAGGGGGTGTTAAGTCAGCATATTTCATTCACTGATGGCTGACAAACTTACTTGTGTTGACTCAAAAGTCCGCACCTTACTGCCGACTATAGGTTGATTACAAACTCTTTGCGACTCAAGAACTGTGCAGTCCCCCGTACTACAAGAAATTCGTAACCTACCTTGCTCTTGTAGCGTGAGCTATGGTGTTCTTCACACCTTTGACAGATATCGGTGACTTGATAGAAGCTGAAGTGTCCTTGGATGTCCACGTCTTCCATAGTCTAGGAATACGCACACTGGTACACTATGTTCCACAAGATTTGTCTTTATTGTTCACAATCTTATCACTAAAGAAGCTGATCACACTTCTCTGTAAGTGTTTATTGTGTTTTGTGAGACACTTTGTTCTCACTAACGCACAGATCGTTCTTTGTTGGTTATCCTGGCGTCAGTGTCACTCTCAGTAGAGTCAAAAGTAATCTGAAGACGCCACAACGCCCCACGCCGTTACTCCCCTAGCACAAAGGAAAAGCTGACCTAGTACTTTTGCTTCCTTGCCACTTCCTCGATGAAGCAAAGCAGAATGTTTGAATCTTGCTGTCTTAAGCATAGACAACAATGTACACTATCTTTACCATGGTAATAAAGTGGGAGCAGGATTTTCCTTAATTGTCCTGCTAACGTAAGAGATGTACTGTCTCTTATTAAAATACACTCTGCAACACTGGACTGCACGGAGCGTCGAGCCACGTCACATACTGGTACTGCATCTGGGGTCATTTACTCGCTGTAGCAGTAAACAAGATGCTTGCCCCTTCTGAGAGGGCTGAGCCCCTCAGGGCTGAAAGGGCTGAAAGGGGCTGAAAGGGGCTGAAAGGGGCTGAAAGGGGCTGATACCCCCCTCCTGGAGAAAATTTCTCCACACTGGATATAAATAAATCCTTTTTGAGTTAAAGTTAAGGTATTCTTGCTTTCCCATTCTTTGGATGAAGCTTGATTGCTTCCCATTCTCCATTAGCTGTATCAACCCTAAGGTTGATGCAGCTAATGGAGAACAGTTATAAAACACATATTACCATACCTTTCATTATGTAATAAATAAAAAAAAATTTTTTTGTATAGGTTAATGCCAGAGAGTGTTCGATGGTTAGTCGTCCAGGGTCGTAATGCTGAAGCAAAGAAGATTATACAGACAATTGCCAAAGTTAATAATGTAGAGGTGCCCAGACATCTGCTGGATGATGCCAACATGGAGGTAATTTGCTTTTGAGCTATTTTCAATGTGAACAGACTGAACCATACCACGGGCGGGTTTAGAACATACAATCATAGAGCCTCAAAACTCCAGTCCGTCGCGTTAGCCACTGGAGTTTTGAGACTCTCTGATTGTAGGTTCTAACCCCGCCCGTGGCATGGTTTGTTTGCAATCGTGTCATTACGATTTCGTGAGTCATGAAAAGACTGACTGATGTTATAATCTTATCGTTACACTGCTTTAGCGGTCGGCCGTCGACCACTTCTCAGAATGAAAGTTTTTAATCATTTGGGCGTCTGTGTTATGTTTAAGACATGGGAGAAAGCCTGGGCCTATATTTAAGCCCCACCAAATGTGAAATAGTTTCTACTAATAGAAAGATGATCCAGAATACTAGTACTCTTTTACCAGGAGCACGAGCCATTGATCCAGTCAACAGCACTCTCCTTGGTTCTCCTCTTGGGTTCAATGCCATCGACCTGATCCTAGAAAAAAAGTCTCAGACCTCAGGACAATGGACGGCAGGAAGAAAGACATCGATACACATGATGCCTTCTACCTACTCACTAGATGCCTGTCATTCCTAAAACATACCTACTTTCAGAGATGTACCCCAGGCTTCAGCAGTCCAAAACTCAAGGGATATGATTCCCTCCTTTAGACCATGCTAGAGAGTGTATTGAATCTTTCCCTCGAAGACGGATAGAGGATGCAAGCTTCACTTCCATTCAGGCTTTGGGGGCTGGGAGTAAGCAGAGCCTCCCAGATTGCCCTACCAGCTTTCCTATCCTCTTACATAGCATCAAACGAGTTAAGACGAATTCTTCCGGACAACCTCAGTGACTCAGCAGAAATACAGAACCCTAACTATGCCAGTGCCATCACTGAATGGGAGACTCTTGCTGCTCCATCACCATATCCTAGTGCAGCACTGGCATATAAACAGTCAAGTTGGGATGGTGCCATCTCTGAAAAGGTACTTGCCAACATGCTCAGGGCTGTAACATCAGATGGGGAGACTGCCCATCTCCAAGCTGTGAGTGCACATCACTCAGGGGACTTCCTCCAAACATTTCCCATTTCGGAAATGGGAAAGCACCTCGACCCTAAGACCCTCCGTATTGCAGTGGCTCTTTGCCTTGCTGCCCCAATTCACGTGTAATATACGTGTATTTGCTGCGATGTCGCAAGCCAACCATTATGGTCTACATGGTCTTAACTGTTCCAAAACAAAGGGCTGGCATGCAAGACACAATGAGATCAATGACATCATAAAAGGAACCCTTGCTACAGCTGGATGCCCAGCCGAGAGGGAGCCCCGATCAACAGCAGCCAACAATACCCACAACCCAGCAAACTACCACGATGGGATCACCATCTATCCTTGGAAGAATGGCAATATACCTGGGATATACAATGGCAATATACAATGGGACTATACCTGTGTGTCCACACTGCCTGACACCTATATCCATCACATTGTCGTGTGACTGGGAGGAGCTGCTGACCATAGGAAGCAGTACAAGATCGGCACATACAGGGACATAAGCCAACAGTATCAATTTGTCCCAGTGGGATCAGAGATCTTGGGATCATGGGGAAAAATGCCATGTTTCCTTAACGAACTGGGTTCCAGACTCATCGACACTCCCAGGGACCCAAAAGCAGCCACTTTCATGTTACAGCTCGTCAGTGTGCCCATCCAGAGGGAAAATGCATGCTGCATACTGGGGTCATGTCCGGCTTTGGAGGAGCTGGAGGAGATTCATAATCTTTGATATATTGCACCAATGTATTCATGTTTGTGATTTCTATCAATGTGTTCTGCCTATATATATATAATATATATATATATATATATATATATATATATATATATATATATATATATATATATATATAATTATATATATATATATGTGTGTGTGTGTGTGTGTACTCACCTATTTGTGGTTGCAGGGGTCGAGTCCTAGCTCCTGGCCCCCACTTCTTCACTGTGTGTGTGTGTGTGTGTGTGTGTGTGTGTGTGTGTGTGTGTGTGTGTGTGTGTGTGCGTGTGTGTGTGTGTGTGAGTGTGTGTGTGTGTGTACTCACCTAGTTGTACTCACCTGGTTGAAGTTGCAGGGGTCGAGTCCAAGCTCCTGGCCCCCACTTCTTCACTGGTCGCTACTAGGTCACTCTCCCTGAACCGTGAGCTTTATCATACCTCTGCTTAAAGCTATGTATGGATCCTGCCTCCACTACATCGCTTCCCAATCTATTCCACTTACTGACTACTCTGTGGCTGAAGAAATACTTCCTAACATCCCTGTTATTCATCTGTGTCTTCAATTAACTGACTTCCCTGCCAGTTCTCTGTCCCACTGAACCCAGTTCTGGAAGTTCCTAATTCCCGTGTAGTCCCCTTTCTTGTAGTTTGGCTTCATTCGTCCTGGCCTTCCTGCTTCCCGCTCCACTTGTAGCTCTACAGTGTATTCGAAGCTTGAACCCACATGATCGCTGGCCACGAAGGGTCTTTCATATGTGATGTCCTCAATATCTGCACTACTCAATGTGAATACTAAGTTCAGTCTTGCTGGTTCATCCTCTCCTCTCTCTCTTTTAGTGTTCCTTACGTGTTGGTACATGATGTTTTCCAGTACCACGTCCATCATCTTGGCCCCCATGTGGCTCCAAGTTCTCCCAATCGATCTAGTTGTGGTTAAGTCACCCATTGTGAGGGAAAAGTTCAACAGATAGGAGTAACGAACAAGTATATGGTAACAATAGTTTGATTGCCGGCTACTTGTTAAGGTAGGATGAGTATAGCTCCCGCTATCCCCCCCTTTCTCCCCCCCCGAAAGGTGACGTGTGGGGCTCCGGTCAAACAGTAATCGCTCGACTCACAGCTCCCATCACTACTGTAAGTACACGCCTGCTCATATTCTAGTGGACTTATTGATTGAAAGCTTCACTTTTGACCAATAATAAACTTAGTCCTTCCAGTCTTGCTCTGTTAAATGTCTTAATAATCACCATGTCTTTTAGGTATTGAACTTATCATGGAGAGTGATTTCTTAAGCAGTGGGTAACCTGTCTCTCTTTCCAGCTTGGAATGACAGAGAGGGTCACCTGCCAACCAACGAGGAGAATTGAAGGAGACGGACTAACGTCCTGAGACGTCCCATGTTGGATCTACCTACCAGTTATGTACGCCAATGCAGGACCTAACCCCTCATCATAGCAGTGGTAACGAACCTGCTTTCCTGCCACCTGGATTAATTATTCATGGCTATAGACTCTGTGAAGAACGAGCCAGTGGGTTGTCACCAACACCTGCGACCCCCCCCCCAACATCATCAGCAACGGCTACGATTTCAACAACACGCAGTGTCACCAACACCAGACACCCCAGTATCACTATATATATATTAGCATTGAGTTCAAATTTCATTTTTTTCATTTAATTTTTCATTTTTCTTTCAAATAGGATATACCTTTCATGTTTCACTGTTTTATGTTTGCTTTAATAAATAATAAAGTGTTTATCTTTGTAAATTATTATTTTTTTTCCATTCATTAATTTTCCTGAGGAGGAGCCAGCCTTGGTAATACTGTCTAAAGTTGTTACAGGGCTGAGTAAGCCTTCAAAATTGGCGACCTTGCCAGGATACGCTCGTCTGAATCAAGATTCAACTCAATCTGGAATCTACCAATGGAACTTCAATGCCACATACCACAGATGGTGACCACCAGCCATGAGTAATCATTCTCTATGGTAGAACTACAGTACAGGTATTTAAAAGATTTTGTGATTGTTATAGTCTCAATTTATTGTAAGTCAAGTCAAAGCAGGATATACTAGTTAATTCTGCCACCTTTTGTGAGCTTGAAACACTTTGGAGGATTAGACTCTAGGACCCGATTTTCCATTGACAATTTTGTTTCATTGAACTCTTTATTATATCAAGGGAACTGTGGTAGGACACTCTTGATTTGTTGGTGAGAAGATTGGATGATCAAGGGACCCCATTCTACTTTCTGTTTGCACGGAGCCGGCATAGAACCCTTCGTTTTCATTAATTCATTGTTTAATTGAAGCAGGGATCGAGCCCTCTGGTTTACTTAGTTTGAGCAGAGCAGGAATTGAACCCTCCATTTTCTTTAATACCCGTTTCATTTTCCCCTGATAGTTTAAGTTTTTCTTGCAAGTATGGAGGAATACCTGTTTTGGATGAATGCTGGAAGTAAGTTAGGAATAAGAGGGAAAAATTTAGAAGCTTTCATTAGTGCTAAGATCCAGGAAAGAGAGAAAAAGGAGAGACAGAGAATTGAAAGAGAAGACAAAAAAGAGCGTGATAGACTTGACCGTGAGGAAAGAGCTAGAGAACATGAGGATAGAGCTAGAGAACATGAGTTAAGAGAGAGAGAAAAAGATCGCGAGCTCGAAAAAGCTCGCTTTGAATTAGAGATTAAAAAGTTAACTTTCTCACAACAGCAATTAGAGGAAGGAGTAATGGAACAATGTGCAGCTAGTGCACCTATTCCAACACCTAATTTACCTCCCTTCACAGAGGGGGAAGACATAACTTCATACATTATCAGGTTTGAAAATACCGCTACCCTCTGTGAATGGCCTGCTGCACCCTGGCTACCAGGTTAGGAATGTTATTTTCTGGTACTGCTTTGAATATCTATGCAACTTTGTCGCAGGACATCATATGTAATTATAACCTACTGAAGAAGGCAATTCTTAAAGCATATCAAAAAACCACTAATTCTTACAGGAAAGATTTCAGGTATGCCACCTTACAGCCTGGCCAGAACTTTCAGCAGTTACAGGTAACACTCTTTCGTTTGTTTGACTTTTGGATAGAGAGTTCAGGAATTGATCACAGCTATGAATCTCCTAGAGACTTCATGGTTGCTGACCAGTTCCTGACAGCTCTTCCCCACCAGATAAGAACATTCATCAGAGAACGTAACCTGATTAAAGCTGAGGAAGTTGCTGAGGCCGCTGC